GCAGCTCCCTGTCAATGTACTGTTGTAACCTATTTTGAAATATCTTCAGATTTTCACATTTTTTCCGGATGGGCTCAAATATTGATCTCTAATAAGTGGTTGATCAGGTTACTCTGTCTTCCAAATTTCTTGGCATTGGTAAGTGAGCACCTTTAGCATTGCATCAGTTTATCGAAACATTTCAGTTGGTATCCTGTCAATTCCTAGATCCTTGTCAATTCCTAGATGCCTACGTCATCAGTGCAATTTGTACTTCTTCAATACCATCAGTTCTTGATAATAAGCTACCTCTTGAAGCTGTTGAGAAGTGACCAATTCTTTTTTACACAATATCTGTGTATTCCTTCCATCTTCATCTGACATTCCTATATTATTCAATATTTTGCTCACAGAATCCTTCAATGTAGCAAGTCGAAGTTTGAATTTTCCCTTAAGTTCATTCAGCTTGAGAAATGCTGAGCATGTCCTTCCCATTTGTTTGTCTATGTTTAGGTCTTTGCACATGTCATTGTAATATCTGTAATACATGTCATTTGTCTTCTAACACTGACTTTCGTAATTTTCTGTTTAGCTTTCTAACTTCCTTATTCCTTCCAGTCACTTTACCTTTTCTGTGCAAGTTTAAGAGTCTCTTCTTACATCTATTTTGGTATTTTATTTTCTGTCCTTTTAATGGCTTTTGGCTTTCTTCCTACATGATATTCTTGATTGGTGCTGTTGTTAGGTGCCATTGAATCGGTACCGACTCAAGCGACCCTATGTACAAAGGACTGAAACACTGCCCAGTCCTGGGCCAACCTCACAAGTTTTATCACACTTCAGCCCATTGATGCTGCCATTTTGCCAATCCATTTCACTGGGGAGTCTTCCTCTTTTTCTCTGACCCTCCACCTTACTAAACAGGATCTTCTCCAGCGACTTGTCACTCCTGGCAATATGTCCCATGATTCTTCTGATTATCCATAATTAGTGTATAATGCATCAGATCTATTCTTGAGATGATCTCTAATTCAGGTGTGATATATTTAAGGTCATATTTTGGTTCTCGTGGACTTTTTAACATTTTCTTCAGCTTCAGCCTGAATTTGCCTATAAACAATAGATGGTCAGTTCCACAGTAATCTTTGGCTTTTTTTTACTTATATTGAGATTTTCCACCATTCCTTTCCACATATGTAGTCATTTTGATTCCTGTGTATTACATCTGGTGAGGTCTAAGTGTATAGTCACCATTTACGATGTTGAATAAAGGTGTTTACAGTGGAAAAAGTGGTCTTCCAAAATTCTATCTTGTTATCTTTAGCATCATTTTTTTCCACAAAGAACATGTTTTTCAACTACTGATCCTTAGTCTTAGCTTCTAACTTTTGCATTCCAATTACCGATAATTATCAGTGCATCTTGATTATATGCTTGGATCCACAATAAACAGTCATAAAATCAGTCTTTAAATCAATAACCTATTACATTAGGCTACTCTGTTTCACAGGATATCTTTAACATGTTCAAGAACAAAGATATCAGTTTTCTAACTAAGGTGTACTTCATCCAAGCCAGGGAATTTTCAGTAGACTTATATGCATGTTAAAGTTAAACATAGACTAAGAAAGACCACAGAAGAATTGATGCATTTGTACTATGCTTTGGGAGAAGAATTTTAAAGGTACTGTGGACTACCAGAACAAACAATGTTGTGTTAGAAAAAGTGTAGCCAGAGTACTCTTTAGAAGCCAGGATGGTGAGATTTTGTTTCTCATAAATGGACATATTGTCAAGAGAGACCAGTCCCTAAAGAAGGACTTCATAAAGTGAAGGGCCAGTGAAAAAGATGAAGACTCCAATGAGATGGATTGGCACAGTGGAAGTATCAATGGGCTCAAGTGTAGCAACAACTGTGAGGTTGGCACAGGACTGGAGAGTGTTTCATTCTGTTGTGGATAAGGTCACTATATGTTGGAATAGACTCAATGGCAAGGCAACCTAACAACAATATTTGTGTATTAGAGTGCATTTTTATTTGTTTGTTACCAATTTGTTTTGAAATGCTGCTTTCCAAAATGGACTGGCACTGTGGCAGTAGCAATGGGCTTAAGCTTAACCACAATGTTGGGAATGGTGCAGGACTGGGCAGTGTTTCATTTTATTGTGAATAGGGTTGCTATGAGTCTATTCCAACTCTATAGTTCCTACCAACAACATTTATCTAAAATACTACACTATTGTTGTTGTTAAATGCCATCAAGTTGGTTCCAACACATAGAGATCCTGTATAGGGTTTCCTCATAGTAACTCATAAAGACCCTGTCTTTATGATTTCTGGGGAATGACTGGTGAGCTTGAACCACCAACCTTGTAGTTCAAACCGATTATGCAGTCCAGCGTATAACCCACAGTGCCAGACCAGGACTCCACTATCTTGACTATTGTTGTTGCTCTTGTTGTTAAGTGCCCTTGAGTTGGTTCCGACCCATAGCAACCCTATCATTGACTGTTGTTGTTGCTCTTGTAGTTAAGTGCCCTTGAGTTGGTTCCGACTCATAGCAACCCTATCAACCCCGGATGTTGTGGGTCAAATGGCCTTGCAGTCCAGCATATTAACCCACAGTGCCACACCATCTCTAATGTTATCCTTTATCAAGATCTGTTTGACTATTCTGAGTCATTTGCCTCTACTATTTATTGCTATTTGCCACCGAGTCATTTCCAACTCATAGCAACTCTATATAGGGTTTCTGAGGAACAATTGGTGATTTTGAACCACCGATCTTGCAGTTCAAGCTGATCTTGTGGTAGAGTGCTTATCCTACAGCACCACACCAGGTCTCCTCTACTCTTTGAAAAGTAAAATTTAGAAACTAAACAGACATAGAATGAAAGAAAGCATTTGCACATTACATATCTTACAAAGGCTTTGTAACCATAATATATAAATGATATTTATAACTCAGTAATACAAAAGGGGTACACTGTATAATAAGCAGTGGACCACTAATTGCAAGGTAGCTAGTTGAAACTCACCAGCCATTCCTCAGAATCTATAGACAGGGTCTTTATGAGTTGCTATGAGTGGAACAGACTGAACAGCACTTAACAATGACAATAAGGCAAATAGACCAATTTTATATAAGTAAATATCTGAAGAGCTATTTTACCAAAGAAGACATGCAAATGACTAATAAAAATTTGAAATTTTGAACATGATCATTAGCCACTAGGAAAATGCAAATGAAAATTACAAGGTACCACTATACACCCAGTCAAATCAACTGACAATACCAAGTATTGATAAGTATGTGAAAACACTGGAAACCTCATATTTTCTGGGAGAAAAACTTTGGAAATTTTTCTAGCATATTCTAAAAAGGATTATTATAAACTAATCAATTGTTCCACCAGTTCAACTGCTAGGTGAAACTGCTAATCAAACATTCCTATCAGCATTATTTGTAATTTCCAAAAAGTGGAAATAGACCAGTTGTTTAAATGATAAATACAATACATCATATCCAAAAAAAAAAAAAAAAAAAATCTGGTACATACTGCAGCATGGATAAAATGCAATAATTTATTCATTTATAGGAATGAATGAAAGAAGACACAAAATGACTACTTGCTATAGGATTCAATTTATTTGGATATTCCTATCAAACTAATAACCTGCAACTTAATTAATCATCTAACCATTTACTTACAAGTCTAAAATTACACTGATTTAAAGGAACCACATGGGATCGACAGGAATCTCTTGAAGGCAGCTTTCACATCTTTATTCCTCAAGCTGTAGATCATAGGATTCAGCATAGGGATCACTAGTGTATAAAACACCGATGCCATTTTATCAGAATCTAATGAATAATCTGTTTTGGGCTGCAAATACATGAATAGTAGTGTCCCGTAGAAGACAGTGACCGCCATCATATGTGATGCACAAGTGGAGAAGGCTTTTTTCCTTCCTTCTGATGACTGTATCCTGAGAATGGACAAGATTATATTAAAATAGGAGACTAGAACTATAATCATTGAAAGAACCAAATTTGTGCCAGCAGAAATAAAAACTATGGTTTCTGGCAAGTAAGTATCTGAGCAAGATAATGATAACAGGGGAACAATGTCACAATAAAAGTGGTTAATAACATTGGAAGAACAATAAGACATAGAGAAAACACAATATGGAACCACAATAGCTGTAGAAAATCCATAGATGTATGCAAGGGATACTAGCAGAAGGCAGATTTGTCGAGATACAACAACCATATAGAGCAGGGGATTACAAATGGCCACATAGCGGTCATAGGCCATCACAGCGAGCATGAAAACCTCAGCTACAATGAAAAACAAGAACCCACCCATTTGGGTGGCACATTCATAAAATAAGGTGGTTTTCTTCTCTATTAAGAAATTGGTCAGCATTTTAGGGGCAATGACAGTAGAATTGCCAAAATTGATGATAGCCAAGTGTCGGAGGAAAAAATACATGGGGGTTTGAAGTCGAGAGTCCACACTGGTGAGTGTGATGATGCCCAGGTTCCCTGCTATGGTCAGCCCATAGATCACCATGAAGACAAAGAAAAGGGGAACCTGGAGCTCAGGACGATCTGAGACTCCCATGAGAATGAATTCAGTCACCCAGGTGAGATTGTCAGGAGCCATTTAAGAGCATGGAAATTCATCTGTTTGAAGAATAAAAAGAAAAAAGCATTACAAATGTTAAGGAATTATTTACAAGGACTGTGAGTTAAGGTGTCAAGGCAACTCCTCCTCAGGTGAGATTTTCCTGAATCCTGCTTTATTCTGAGCCAATTATTGAACTCATGCAACTCTGATTAAAAACTATCTAGCAATTGTTTCGACTTCATTCTTCCATGGCTCATAGTCATACTCATATTATTTACTTTTTCTCAACCATTTGGGAAAGGGAGTGATCCAGCCTCATATACTGTATTAAGAAAGTATAATTTTTCTTAATATTATTAAAATATTATGAATGTTTTAATCACTTACAAACATTTGAAACCATTATTATGTTAATATTAAGGATATCACAGAGAAGGACATCAAGTTAGATAAAATCAGTGAAGAAGACATCGTCCACCAATGCGATGGATTGACACAGTGGCAGTAGCAATGGGCTCAAGTGTAGCAACAATTGTGAGATTGGCGTAGGACTGGGCAGTATTTCTATCTGTTGTGCATAAGATTGCTATGAGACAGTACCGACTCGATGGCACCTAATAGTAACAATTAATATCTTATGGCTTCCACATTGCATATGACAAAGACTTGAGAAATTGTTTATCCCCAAATAATTTACTGGCTCGTGATTTTAATCTGTGTTTTCTTGTTAAAAAAAAAAAAAAAAAAAAAGGCTATTCAAGGCACTACCCTGACTCAATCTCTATAGTCTATCCTTATGTGACTTCTAGACGGCACCTAACAACAACAACAACATGGAACTTCTATTAGATTTATGTTGAAATTGTTAATTCTACCATTGGACTGCTAACTGCAAGGTCAGCAGTTCCAGCCCACCAGTTTATCCTTGAAAACCTTATACAGAGTCACTATGAGTGGAATTAACTCAATATCAACAAATCATGCATAAGTGTTATTTATTTCAGTAGCTCTGACAAGAGATCTTGTCAAGTCACTGATTATCACTTCAGTTTTGTATTTTAGTGACGTTTGTCAGTGTTCTAAAAATCATGTCTGTAATTGTTTCGCATTGTGATTTACTGGAGTCCTGATATGATGCTGTGGGTTAATGTGCTGGACTGCAAGGTCGGTTTGAACTGCAAGGTTGGTGGTTCAAGCTCACCAGCCACTCAGAAACCCTATACAGGGTCACTATGAGTGGCAACTGACAAGGCACTTAACAACAATAACAACATTACCTC